ACATCACCTCACATGCCTGCACTCCCGTCTCACTGCATTCACATCACCTCCATGCAGGCACTCACATCGCTGGTGAGAGCCTCCTGCAGAAGCTGGCTGCCCTGCTTGCGCAATGCTGCACGCAATAAGGCTGCATTCACAAGCACACTCATATCGCTCCACACTCAACCGTATCGCAGCACACTCAACCGTATCGCTGCACACTCAACCGTATCGCTGCACACTCAACCGTATCGCTGCACACTCAACCGTATCGCTGCACCGCAACTGCACACTCAACCGTATCGCCAACACTCAACCGTATCGCTGCACACTCAACCGTATCGCTGCACACTCAACCGTATCGCTGCACACTCAACCGTATCGCTGCACACTCAACCGTATCGCTCCACTCAACCACGCACACTCAACCGTATCGCTGCACACTCAACCGTATCGCTGCACACTCAACCGTATCGCTCCACACTCAACCGTATTGCTGCCACACTCAACCGTATCGCTCCACACTCAACCGTATCGCTGCACACTCAACCGTATCGCTGCACTCACACTCACATCGCTGGTGAGAGCCTCCTGCAGCAGCTGGCTGCCCTGCTTGCGCGTGAAGTAGAAACCGTGGTTGAAAAAACAGCTCCTGGTATGCAGGGGTGTGCAGGGGGGTGCGGATGGGTGCGGATGGGTGCACATTGGTGCACATGGGTGCACATGGGTGCACATGGGTGCAGGGGGACAGAGTGAGCCGGGTTTTCGCATGCAGATTGGCAGCAAGGGCATGTTGGATTATGCATAAAGGCGTTAACGCAGTGCGGGTGGGGGTGTCGGGAGGCAGAGAGAAGAAGGAAGCAGTGATGTCCGAAAGAGGAGGATAGGATGTGGGCATGGTGGACGGTGGGACGTGGGGGAGAGAGGGCGAGGGTGGTTACCAGCAGTTGCAGGGCGACATTCATGCCAATGGGTCGCAGCTCCCTCAGACTGTACGAGATGGCTTGCTGCCACGGGTGGTGTGCATGGCACGCATGGCATGGTGGGGCGGTGGAGGGGGGAGGAGAAAGGAAGACCGGAAATGCAGGGAATAATGAGAATTCTCAGCAGCTCCCTCAGGCTGAACGTGATGGCTTGCTGCCATGGATGGCCCACATGGCACGCCAGGGCATGGTGGAGCGTGCAGGGCCCAAGAATGGAGGGGAGAGGAGAAAGGAAAAAATCCTCACCGCAATTCTCCTATCTCTCCTCAGTGCATCCCTGCCCAGCGCATCGCTGGTGCAACCCATCTCTGTGTGTGGCTCACCACGAACTGGTCGATGTAGGGGCGGGCTTGTGGGCCGTAGTAGAGGTCAGCCAGCTTGAGTGCCTCTGCCTCGTTGCCCGCCTGCAGATGCACCCTGATGGATGCATGCATGCGTGCGTGCGTGCACGTCCAAATCATGCACATGCGTGTGCATACGAACCAGAACATGCAACGAGGGCAGTGAGGGCAATCAGGGAGAACAAATAACAACACATCGTTATTAGATCAGCCTGACACGCCACGCCATGCCATGATATGCCAATCCATGCTATGAGAGGCAGAGGAACGCACCTGAAGAGGATAGTCTGCAGGGCAGCATCCGGGACAATGTGACTCTCCTCTATCATCCGCACCAGTCGGAATGCTGCCTGCATGCATGGGCGTGGCGGCACATGCATGCACTCACACGCAAACATCCACGCACGGGAGCGCGCACACATACACGCACACACACACATACACGCACACACACACAGGCGCACGCAAGCACACATGAACATGCAAACGCACACATACGAATTCTTAGCAAGCACTTTTCGCCATTTCCTTGCACACCATTTTTCAAAATTCTCTAAAGCGACTCAGATCTTGCCATTTCTCAGCACATCGTCAGCCCCACACACCACCATTTGCCGAACACATCACACGTCCTCACCTCACTCCCCTGCAGTCCCCCCCTCTCCCCCACCTCCATCAGCCACACACACCTGCGCACCCAGAAACGCCCTAACGGCAGCAGCACAGAGCACCAGACCAGCCACTCCCAGGTGACTTACGAGTCAACTTACAGCACGCACGCCTGAGCCGACTGAAAGCGAACCTGCAACTGGTGAGCGTCGAGAAACGCCCTGAGAGCAGCGCGGTGCACCACAAGATCCGCATTCGCGTAGATCACCCCGCTGCCTGCTCCCCTCCCCCCTCCCACCTGCTCTTCCCGCCCGCCGTAATCACCCAGATGCTCTTCCATCTCCCCCATCTCCCCCATCTCACTCATTTCACTCATATCACTCATCTTCTCCTTCTCTTCCTGTACTTCTGGTGGTACACACGGCGCTGTGGACTCGTAAGTCACCTGGGCCGGAGGCAGCGGCGCCATCAGCAATAGGATCCGCACCGGATTCATTCAGGGGTGGAATCAGCAGGGTGATCAGCGGTGGGGTCAGTGATGCTGTGGGTCCTGGCAGTGGTGGCGGCCTCGGTGGCAGTGGTGGTTTTAGTGGGGGTGGAGTCGGTTCAAGGCTGTAGGTGGGTGCTGTCAGGGACTGTTCCAACAGAGAAAATATCTGCGGAAGGACGGAAGTGAGGGGGGGCGAGGGGTGAGTAGGAGCGAGTGGGAAAATGAGGAAGTGAGAGGAGTGAGGGATGTGAGGGGGAGGAAAAGCAGGGGGGCGGAGGAGGTGGAGCTAAGAGGGAGAGGGAAACCATTGGAGGTTGTTTTACCGAGAGAGGATGAAATAATTCGCTCTCGCCACCAGTGCGCATTTCATCCTCGTGTCTATCCCCCCTACAGTGCGCAACTTTCCCCAAGTGCCGTCCCCTTTCCCCTCGCCCCCAGCACACCCCTAATTGCCACCTTGGCAACAATGCGCGGGGAGGAGGGGCGCACGCGCTAGGTGTCATGGCTATGAGTGCAGCGTAGCAGAACTTGTTCATCGCCACGCCATCCTTGCTCATTCGCTCCTGCACCTCCTCGCGCTGGGAGCATGGGGTGGTCCGGGGGGAGTATGGGCTAGCAACAGATCAGGAAGCCATGTTTCATGCATGCACACCCTCCCCCCCCTATGCACTCCCCCCGCCTGCGCTCCTGACTGCAATATGCGCTCGCGACCGCAGCATGCCAAGGGCACGACACCGCGGTGCCGGCAGCAGGTGAGGGTGGGCGAGCAGCAGAGCATGCTCCACTCCACGAATACGGCCACCTCGCCTGCAGAACTGGTAGCTGGACTGCATTACCCTCCACCGCGCACAGAGCATTACCCTCCAGCGCGCACAGGCCAATGCACTCCGGCACCCACTGGACGCCCTCGTTTCCCTCAAGACCAGTGCCAGCAGGCACCAACACCAACGAGCCCGATTGGCAGCGCACGTGACCAACGAGCCCGTGCAGCGCACGTGACCAACGAGCCCGTGGCAGCGCACGTGCTCGGGCTGTACGGCCCAACAGCGCCTCTGAGTGCGGCACAGCTGCTTCACCTGATGGAACTTAGAACCCCCCACCCCATGGACCAGCAAGGCCATGGGGCTATGATATAGGATCCGGAATGATGCTGTGCTGTGCGCTACATGTCCTTTATGGCCTGTAACCATGCATTGATTTATAACAAAGGACTATATATGCGCAGGGCAGGGTTGACGGCAGAGTTACGCTTTTGTCGAAGCGGCCGGTGGTGGTGCAGGCGGTGAGCAGCGCGTGGTAGGTGCGGATGTTGGGCGGGCGCCCTGCAGCGCGCATGTCCCAGTCCACGCGGAACACCCTCTCCACGTGCCCGCTGCGACTGTACGCCGTCATGACACAGTTGAATATGTTAGCGCTGGGTGGGAAAGGGGGGGGGATGTGGGGGGGAAGGGGAGAAGGGGGTGGCTAAAAGAGGCGCCCTGCAGCGCGCATGTCCCAGTCCACTCGGAACACCCTCTCCGTGTGCCCGCTGCGACTGTACGCCGTCATCACACAGTTGAATATGTAGCGCTGATTGGGGTGGGAGGGGTGGGAGGAGGGGGAAAAGCCGAGGAGTCTGCATTCGAAAAGTTTCGAAAAGCTTGTCAACAAGGAGTGTGTCAAAAGGAGTGCCTCCACAGCTTGTCAAAAGGAGTGCCTCCACAGCTTCCTGACGTGAAAGACGCTCACTATCTCACAGCTAATGCCATCTCCTAGGCGCGCGGGTCACGTCGGGCGAGATCCCTCAGGCGCGCTTGCCGTGGTAGAAGAGGAAGAGGGCGTCGCATGGTCGTACGGGTGACTTTTGAGGCGCCTCAAAAGGGTGACCTGGTCAAAGCAGAACACAAGGCCGTGCAGGCAGGTGGCGCGATCAGCACGTTGCCGTGCCGTCACGTTAATGCAATGTGCAGGATGATCCATCTCACATACATCGGGCGTGATGCCGCGGGCTGCGCATCCTGGTTGAAGAAGAAGACGAGGTCGTGCCAGGCGGTTGGCGCGCATGCACTGCCGTGATGGCCGCATGGAAACGTCACGAAGTTGGGCTGCACGCCGTCCATCAGCATGTCTCCGTACAGCGTGCGCAGCAGGTACGGCCTGGGGGGATGAAAGGGGAGTGCAGATGAGGTATCAGGTGCGGTCTTGGGTCGCGAGTCAGGAGACACAGCTATGGTGGGAGAGGCGAGTGGCGGGGGAGTGTGGAGTGATCGGCGGAGAAGGATCCGCGGAGGTGATGCGCGGTAAGATCAAGGATCTGGAATGTGGGATAGCGCGGCGAACAACTGTCACCGCGTGATTTGCGAGTGAATCCGATTCGATGCGCCTCGGCGACTCACTTTCGGGAGCGCGATAGCTCAAGCGCCGCGGCGTTGTACTCGTTGAGGTTCCGCGCGTACACCACCGCCTCGTGCGCGTTATGCTCCCGCTTCATCCTCCCCCCGCTAAAGTCACTCCCCTCGCGCCCCTCATTAACGCCGGCGGATGTTCTTGCAGCGAGGGAATAAAGTCGGCTGAAAAAATGGCTCCCGAAACGAGGGGACGTGCTTTCGGTATGGTCACACCCGGCATCGTGCGATCGGATTGTGGAGGGGAGGATCGGGAGCGATGCGAGGAGCGTGCGATCAGGGTCGCCGCTTCGAGATCCGACGGATCGGATGAACGCATCGTACGGCTGGCCGCGACAAGCGCCGTCAGCGACGTCGCTGACTCGGAACGCGCGATGGGCTAAGCCCCTACGCGCGGCGACAGCCTTGGCCACGTGGCGCTGAGCCATTGACGAAGCCACGCGGCGCGAGGCTGTCAGGACGTGGACCGTCGATCAGCAAAGGCGAAATTCGTCAGCATTACAAAACAACTGGTCGTACTCGGTACAGTATGAGCCACCAACACTTGTGAAAGTAGCTTGTACCTGTTGCACCGCCACTTTTTCACTCAAGGAGCTGCTGTGCAGCCATGAACTCCACTTGTTCCATTGAACATTATTCTTGTCATAAATGAAACATGATGGTGTGTAGCATGAAGAAAAAAAACTGACAGCCCAACAGCCTGGTCACGTTTTTTTGGGCTAGCGAGGAGCTATCCATGTGTCCAGCTTCTAGCAACTCCTCTTTCAATCCCTCCCTCGTTTCAACCCTCCCTCCTTCCTCATCCACTTCCTCAACACCACCTTCCCGATCCAGCACCACATTCGTCATCTCTATCGATCCTCCCTCCCCTGTGTCATCTCCCCCCTCCTCTCTACACTCCTCTCCACCACCCTCCACCTCTCCCTTCCCATCCTCATCACCATCCCCCCCACTCCGCGCAAAGTCATGAGGGGGAGAGCTCATATAAGCATCAAGCTCAGCACTCGACCCCTCATTGGCCGAAATGTATGTAACTTCCGTTACAGGCCGCCGCGCGAGCAGCGCAAGGGAGACAACGTATATGACGAGCACGAGGGCTATGGCAATCCCAAGGGGGATCTGGGCGGTTTGGGGCAGGTTGTCTGATACCAGGTACTCGACACAGGCTTGCACCACGAGCACGCAATTAACAAAGATAACTACAGTGCCAATGATGTATGCAGCTACAGTGACCTGGACAGAGGGAGCCGAAGGGAGGAAACAATTGGAGATGTTTTGAGTGTGCCGAGAAGGGGGGTGGGGGAAGCATGGACATGGATGCGATGGGAAAGGGAATGAGGGGAGCATGCATATGGATGTGATCAATACCCAACACATGGCACACAGAGTTTGTACTTCGTGAAATTTACAATGATCACAGGCAGTGGTGGTATGCTCACTGTGTCACGCCTCTGCTCTCTGTGCCATGCTCTCCTCTATGTATCACGCCTCTGCTCTCTGTGCCATGCTCTGCTCTCTGTGCCATGCTCTGTTCTCTGTGCCATGCTCTGCTCACTGTGCCGTGCTCTGCTCACCGTGGGGTGGTTGGTGAAGGGACCCATCTTGACAGGGCTGCTTGTGAACTTGAGCAGAGGGATGAGCGCATACGGCAGGCCGAATGACAGGATGATCTGTGGGCGTGCACGGTGGGGAGAAAGAGGCAGATGGGAGTCAAGCACAGCAGATGGGGAGGTAGGCAGAAGAGGAGGAGGGGCAAGCAGTGGACTCAGTAGAAAACGCGGACAACGTCAGGGAGCAGCAAACATGACACAATCCACACAACATATGCCCACTGCCACTCTCCCTCGTGCCCTCTTTCCCTCTCCCCAACCCACCGAGGATGCAATGACGAGGTTGCCGGCACCCCTCGGCCCCAACCACAGTTTTTGAAAAGTCTCGGACCTCCCCTTTCCCCCTCTCTCTCCCGCTCTTCCCCTCTGTCCCTCTCTATCCCTCCCCTCCCCTCCAACCCACCGAGGATGCAATGATGAGGTTGCCGGCGCCCGTAGCGCCAGCCACAATGGCAACAGCGAGCGACGGCACGATGGCAACGAGGCGTGTGAGCAGGTTGCGCAGCCACGACGCGAGGTGCAGCTCCAGAAACCCCGACATCACATACTGCCCCGCGTACGTCCCCGTGATCGTGGAACTCTGCCCTGAGGCTAACAGAGCAATGCCAAAGAGCGTGGACGCCCACGCGCCCAGCACGTCGCGCAGCAGGAAGTAGGCGTTGCTCAGGCTGATGTCGCTGCAGCTCGCCTGCACGTCCGGGGAGAGGTCCGGCGCGGAGCAGACTGCCCCGCCCACACAGATGACTGCCACGTTGATGGCGAAACTGATGATGAGCGCCGCTGCCACTTCCAATAATGAGTAGAGACACCCGTCCTGGCAGTGGCGGAGAGGTGAACGGGGGAAGAGAGTGGGGGAGGGGTGAGGAGGGAGCACACGGCGCCGCCCACGCAGATGACTGCCACGCTGATGGCGAAGCTGATTATGAGCGCCGCTGCCACTTCTAGTAACGAGTACAGGCACCCGTCCTGATGGGCATGAGAGGGGGAAGAGGGGAGAGGGGATCAGAGGGGAGGTGGAGGGGGGAAGGGGGACAGTGTGGGGTTAGACAGCTGAGTCGACTCATGGCTAGTAAGAAGGGAAGGGCGGGCAGTGGAACCGGAACTGTGGAAGGAGGCTGCAATTACATGGGAGCGGCACAGCCTACTCATCATTCTCCTTTCCTCGGCACTTGCCACCTTTCCATCCATCACCACCACACAGACCCAGCACCCACCGTAATCCCAGCACTCACCACAACCTGGAGTCATCACAACCAGCAACCACCACAATAAGCACCTCGATGCCTTGGCGCCAGCATCAGAAGCAGCAGCAAGTGCAGCGCACCTTGATGCCTTGACTGGTGCGCTGGGGCTTGCGGCTGAGCACCAGTGCGGAGTGCAGAAAGAGGTTGTGCCTGGCAGGGACAGGCGAGAGGTTGGGAGAAGTTGGAGGAAGAGGAATGGGGGGAATGGGCGGGGAATGGGGCGGAGAGATGCGTGGTTGGGAAACGAGACAAATCAAGAAGCAACACACCACATGAGTGCATGCATCCCATGCCATCACACCACATGAGTGCATGCATCCCATGTCATCACACCATCTCACACCATCACTCCGTCTCCCTCCACCAACTTACGGCATGACCAGAGCACCAATGAGCGAGATGGCGATGGCGAGCGCACCCAGATCCTGTGTGCGAGGGAACGAGCATGCCCTCTAGCACCCGCCATGCCATCCATTCACCCCCTCCCCCCTCCCCCTTTCCCCCCCCCCCCCCCCCCCCCCCCCCCCCCCCCCCCCCCCCCCCCCCCCCCCCCCCCCCCCCCCCCCCCCCCCCCCCCCCCCCCCCCCCCCCCCCCCCCCCCCCCCCCCCCCCCCCCCCCCCCCCCCCCCCCCCCCCCCCCCCCCCCCCCCCCCCCCCCCCCCCCCCCCCCCCCCCCCCCCCCCCCCCCCCCCCCCCCCCCCCCCCCCCCCCCCCCCCCCCCCCCCCCCCCCCCCCCCCCCCCCCCCCCCCCCCCCCCCCCCCCCCCCCCCCCCCCCCCCCCCCCCCCCCCCCCCCCCCCCCTCCCCCCCATTCATTCCTTCTTACGGCATGACCAGAGCGCCGATGAGCGAGATGGCGATGGCGAGTGCACCCAGGTCTTGTATGCGCGGGACAAACATGCCCTCTAACACAGCCATGCCATCCACTGGTGCATGCCCCATCTCAATGAAGAAGCAGCACGCTATCACCATCACCAGCAGCGCTATGAACACCTCCAGATTGCGCACCTGCATGGAGAGGAAAAGAGGGGGGGGTGAGGTGAGGTGTGGAGAAGAAAGAAGGCACTGAGTCACTTCAAGAAGCAGCACGCTATCACCAGCACCAGCAGCGCTATGAACACCTCTGGATTGAGCACCTGAAGGACAGGGGGAGGGGAGGTGGAAGGGAAAAAGTGGAACTGAGTCACTTCAAAAGGCCGCACGATCATGAGAACCAGCAGCGCTACGAACACCTCTTGATTGCAAGAGCACAGAACACGAGACAGGCACATGCATAGAAACGGTTCTGGGCAGGCAGTATAAGGTTTGTGAAGGAGAGGCGCGGGTGCGGGGAAAAAGAGGAGGTTCACCCCGAATCGCTGGAGGCCGAGGAAGAGGAGCGTGCTGAAGCCCATGAACACACACACATGCACACATGCACACATGCACACATGCACACATGCACACACACATGCACGCATGCACGCATGCACACATGCACACACACATGCACACATGCACACATGCACACACGAACTCACCCCGAATCGCTGGAGGCCGAGGAAGAGGAGCGTGCTGAAGCCGGTTATAATGACCCCCGCCCACAGACGAATGCCAAACAACATGTTGAGTGCAAAGGCCATTCCTATCACTGCCATGCATGCAGATGTGCACACATGCACGCATGCACACACGCACACACACATGCACATGCACGCACACATGCGCACGCACGCACACACGCGCGCGCGCACACACACACACACACACACACACACACACAAACACACACGCACGCACACAAGGATTGCAAAGGGAAATTGAGTGCAAAGGCATGTGCAAGCCATACAGAAGCAAGCGCTCGGAAAGGAGAGGGAATGAGACCGGGAGAGGAGGAGAGATGAGGGAGAGGAGGAGAGATGAGGGAGAGGGGGGGAGATGATTGAGAGAAGGAAATACCTTCTGGGATGTCACTGGCGATGATCTCTATCTCTGCAATCACCCAGAGCGCAAGGTTGACACCTCGGGGGTACTCCGCCCTGCAATGCTGCGCCAGATGCTTGCCTGCCATCATGCATTGCCGCACAGCACCGCACCACACCACACCACAGCATGACACAGCACAGTGCAGCACAGCACGGCATGGCACAGCACAGAAAGAAGAGCCATGTACACATGGGGTGAGGTTGTATCAAGCCATGGCATAGCAGGGCATGGCATAACATGGCATGGCATAGCATGGCATGGGCGTCTCATGGCATGGGATGACATAGCCAGGCATGGAATGGCATGCAGGGTTGAAGGGCGGCAGCATTGGAAGATGTGGAACCATGCTGTGGCTCCTTGTCTCTCCCCTACTGGTGGTTTGAGAACTAACCGGTGACTATTCCGAGGTTGGCGGACAGTGACTGTATAAGGAGGCCCGCTAGCGATGCCAGCAGAAGAACCCAAAGAAGCTGAAAACGGGAAGGAAAACACAGAAAGAGACAAATTTGCATGGGATGGATGAAGTGTGCGTGGAGCTGTGCAGCATAATGCAGACATTTTCACGCGAGAATAGAGTAACAAGCTGCTGATGGCTGGTAGAAAAAAGAGCGGAGATAGAGGTGTAACCTGTAACCTACCGAGTATTGGTATGCTGCTCCTGCCTTGAGGTCACTTTCAACTGCACGAGAGAAGAATACGAGACGAGCGAAAGGGGACGGGTAGAGAGAGGGGCTCAACGCATGGAGTGAGTGTGTGTGATTGTGATGGGAAGCGGAGGAAGAGACGGTGAGAGCGACGGCGCCTGTACCGTCCCAGTTCACCAAGACTGTGGGCGCACGACGGGCAGGTGGTGTGTTCCTATCCGCATGGAAGTTCAGTGCATGCAAAAACCACGGTGTAAGCGATACTGTGAGTGAGCAATTGGCACGACCAGCAGTTCAAGCGACTCACAATTGGCCGGGTCGATGTAGGCTATGGCGACGAGGAATCCAGGGCCGACGTACGCCCAGAATTTACTCCATCCTCGCTCCTGCGATCACTCACGCATGGACACGCAGGGGTAAGCTGAATGTCAGCCACACAATAACTGCTGCAACCGACCTCATTTACCTAGTATACGATCGTTGATTTTCAACGCTCGACACCTAACTCAGAGATTTCTGATTCCGCGTTCCGATTAGGAGCGGAAAGCTTAGATCCCTAAATGAACAGTGCGCAGCATTCTCCGGCCGAGTCTCGCGCCAGGGCGGAATTACCTCGGGAACGTGCACTTGACCCTCGTCTTGATCCTTGCGGTCTGCGCCCTCGGTCGCCATGCTGCTGATCAGGCCAATGTTCTCCGTCATAAGACCACCAGTACGCCAAAATCGATCAGCGTTCGTGCCTAGACCTTCCGACCGAATGTAGAATCGATCAATAAATAATCAGCAACCGTAGATTCATTTGGATAAGAATCCACTAGCGCGTGTTGTCGTAACCCGCCAACGTAAACGCCTCCTAAGATGGTTGGCCTATGTTATGGCTAGCTTGCATTGTTCCGGGGCTGGTGAATTGGGGCGAAGCGAAGAACAGTAGCCATCAATCAAAGAGATGGCTTGAAATGGAAGCTTGGTTGGTGCATTGCACGCTCCCCACTCCCCGCTGCATTCTTGTCCAGCATCACATCGCAACTCGAGGGGGTGGGTGGGTGGGTTCTCGACACGTCGATTTACCAGATAACGGTATGAAACTGTACATAATATTTCAAAGTAGGGATGAAATGCATGGAAGTGCGCATGTTTTGAGCAAGTACCGTAGTGGTGGTTATGCATTTATGCAACCTTATTACATATCCGCACACTGCATTACACATACTACACCAGCATCGAAGCAGGAAACAGCAGTGGTGTGTTTCGATCAACATTGAAGTTGAATGCTTATTGCGGCCAATGCAGGATGTATAAACGAGAAAACTAGTTAACTTCACGCACTTATAACGACTCTGTTGCACGCTGTATTGCACAACTCAACAGCCGCTGGAGTGGTCGCCTTCTTGCAGCACTGGCTACACTGCTGCTTGCTGTTGCTTGAAGTCTTGGGTGCACACACTGGAAAACAGAACCAGAGAGAGACACATCCGGATTGAATTGTGTGCGGAACAGCTTCTCATGCATGGGAATGTGGCAATCATGAATCCAGAATCGCATGGAATGACTTTGGCACTTACTGACGCATCCAGGCACAGGCTTGCAGTTGACAAACTTCCCATGGATGCAGGAGCAGCGCTGGCAGAGGTCGCCAGTCTTGGTCATGTCGTGAGCTCCGTTCTTCACAAAAATTGGACCCCATCCTGGTCCAGCACTTACGCACTCGTTTGGACCCTCTGAGGGAAATGGAGGGAAAAGCACATCGAAGTGGACAAGGGTGAGCCGGAAAAAAGACGGTCAATCAAGAAATCAACGATGCCATACACAATCCGTGTGAGGGACCAAATAGCTTATTAGCAAAGAATGCAGACGGAATGTAAGGGGAATGGAGCTCACGAGCACTGTTGATGCAGTTGCCAATGTATGTGTCGTTGACAAACCGTGATACTTCACACCTGGTGGTTGAAGGAGAAAAAGGAAGTCAAATAATGCACAGAGAATGAAGAAAAACGTCATTAGCAAGTAGCGCATTCAGGAGTTGCCTTGAAGCAAGTCAGATGATTCTCTCTGCTGGTTAATCTCACAGCCCACGCGACTCAACTGGTTCTGTCTGGTGTCCTTGCATCGCGTGCCGTCCTTCCATCGCCCCACCGCGTCCTGCTTGCACAGCTTTCCCAGCGGACACACGCAGGTGGGGCCGGACTTGAGCTTCTGGCACGTGCAGCGCGGACAGATGGTCGAAGCCGTGATGCCGCTGGTACCCGGTGCGAACATGACGGAGCGGAACATGCAGTACTTCTGATTTATCTGATCGACTGGTTAACAACGTCAGAAACAGAAAACGGAGAAATTATCAGAAGACGAAATACTCTGCGGTGTTTTCAAGCGTTTCTTGCGGTAGAGAGGGTCGCAAGAAAAACACATTGTTGGTAATCGATGGCTTACTAGGCACGTCGGAGGCGCATTTCCCCTTGAACAAGAAATGGGGTGAGTTTTTCACCACCTTGGTCACCAAACACCTGAAACGATCAATCAATTCAGCAAACAGGCCGCGATACAGGATATAAATTCGCTCTCGTCAACAACTATGCTCGTGATGTCATGACATTCTCACAGCGGGACCCGCGTACCCGAAGTCTCGCTTGCATAAGGGCTTCATGGGGGTGTAGTTCTTGTCGTAGTAGCATGTGGATCCGTCAGGTAGGCCTGACCCAGCTCCAGTTGCACAGACAACCCATGGCCCTGCATGAAATACCAGGCATCAGGATCCATATTCAAATGTAAAATAGTATGTCGCGCAAGCGCAAGCACTTCAAAGAAAGTCCTCGCATCACCTGAAGTTGAAGCGAGGAGCAGCAGAAATGGAAGAGATGCGAGGATCTTCATTGCCGATGTCTGATCGCTTTCCGCTGCCTGCTATGATGGCCCGAGAAGCAACAGGAGGTCACTATTCCAGGTGATGTAAATTACTGTGACCGAAAGATTCAGGGCTATTGTATTTATAGCAGCATATGAAACCTTATCCAGGAGTCGCATCGGCCATGCTCATGGCAATGCCCCGCGGATAATGTCATGGAGAGGGGCGGTAGAGCAGAGGGAGTTCCGTTGGTTCAACAAATGTGCAAGGGATTCGCGAACGCGCCGCAACATCAGCATGTCAGTGCTGAAAATGTCCTCAGAAGATGTTACAAGTCCGTACCATTCATACACGCTTTTGTGCCTACTTACATTTACCGTAACCCAAACAGCTCACTGAGGTGGCACAGTAATGATGTGACCTACGGTATGTGGTGTATTTTCAGTCTGGTGGAAAAATAGGGGCTCTAAAACGCCTACGGTACCAGCAGATATGTGGAAACAGTAGAAACATGTATGATTTGTGGGGACGTGAAATCTTGGTTGAAGTGTTTGCCGCTGATGGCAATCATGACATTTGCCTTTACATCCCCTTCCATACTTATGTATCAACATCTCTGCAAGGATGGAAGCTCCATTCTTTTGTTAGAAAAATATCTTATAGCTCTTAGCTGGAGAGGATATGAGCTTACATTGTTGGTGTGCAAGAACTAAAGAAGGCTCAAGGGGAGCCAGTGATGGCATATTAAGGTCACTGTGCTGGCAAGGCAGGGCAAACTCGGTTCATCGTTCTGAAGGTTAAGCCATACTGCCTGAAGCCTGCCGATAAACCCTGTTACACGCTGTTTCACACATCTCAACACCCTCTGGTGTGGTGGCCTTCCTGCAGCACTGGCTGCATTGCTGTGCGACGTTGGTTGGGCTCTTTGGAACACACACTGCGAAAGAGCACCAATGGGGCAATACAAAGAGAAGGAATAAGAAACAAGGACTCGAGTATACTAACGAATGAGTGAATGCTACAACACATTTCCAGTCACTAACTACCCACAGACTGACATGCAACTTACTGGCACATCCGAGTACAGGCTTGCAGTTGACAAACTGTCCTTTCATGCAGGAACAGCGTTGGCATAGATCACCGGTCTTGGTAATGTTGTGAGCCCTATTCCTCACAAAAATGGGACCCCACCCTGGTCCTGCACTGATGCACTCGTTGGGGCCCTCTGACAGTGATGGAATATAAACATCCAAGGAGGGAATAAGGGGGTGGGAACGCGATGATAGAACGAAAATTTAAAAGGATGGGAGAGCACACACGTTGCAGAAACAATAAGTTGAGTAGGAGATGAACTAGACATGAACAATTGGATCTGTAAGCACGAAAGCGGTAAGGGAGAAGAACACAACGATGGAGGGGGAGGAACTGACGAGCAGGGTTGATGCAGTTGCCAACGTACGAGCCATTGACCACCCGTGATACTTCACACCTGGTGGTGCCATGACGACATGGGAGGGAGGCAAATACGTACAAGGTGTTAAAAAAATTACTCATTCCACAGCACAAAATTTATCTGTGTGCAGGAGAGTCAAGGGCATATCGTTTCCATACTCGTCCCTGGTCACACTCCCGCTTCCCCGTTTTCCCACTCCCATCCCCCACGCGACTCAACTGGTTCTGTCTGGAGTCTCGGCATCGCGTGCCGTCCTTCCATCGCCCCACCGCGTCCTGCTTGCACTGCTTGCCCAGCGGACACAAGCACGTGGGGCCGCCCTTGAGCTGCCGGCACGTGCAGTGCGGACACATGGATGTCGCCGTGATGCCGCTCGTCCCCGGCGCGAACATCACGGAGCGAAACATGCAGAACCGTTTGGTGATTTGGTCCACTGAAAGGGAGGTGGAGAGCGGCGGCGGGGAGGGGCAAAGGATTGTTGAGAAAACGTGACATTGCAATGATATTCGCAGTCAGTGCGGAGGCAGGTGGAAGAGAAAGAGTTTGGAAACTTACGAGGAACGTCAGAGGCGCATTCGCCCTTGAACTTGAAATGCGGTGAGTTGCGAACCACCTTGGTCACCACACACCTGAAAAAAAGGGGAAAGTCACGCACACGGAAGGCATGTAGCGAACGGATTTGAGCTGCGCTTGCATGGTGGTGAACCACTCCCTATATTAATCGCATCTTTCATGGCGGATCGCTAGAATAGGGTATTATAGGACTGCTGCCATTTCAGGTTTCAAGAAAGACGCGATTCTCAGCGTACCCGAATTCTCTCTTGCAGTAGGGCTTGATGGGGGTGTAGTTATTGTCGTAGTAGCATGTGGCTCCGTCAGGTAGGCCCGACTTTTTGTCACCGGCGACGGCTAACCACGGCCCTGAACGAACGATAGCGGAGCGAAAGAAGCTCGTGGGCAAGGCTGAATACAGAACGTATTCCGAGCGTCCGCGTGTTCATTACAACGAAAACGCGAACTGGAAAATGAATATTTATCATAGGTGAACAAATGACGAAGCTATGAGAGTAGCACCTGAATTCAACGAGAGCAGAAGCAGCAAGGTAAGCGATGCGCGGAGCTTCATTCCTGCGAGTATCGTTCGTTCCACGACGTCCTGTGCTCACTATGCTTCGTGAAACCCCTGCGATTGAGAATCTGACAGAGAATTTTGGAGTCTACGAATCTCAGTATAACTGAGCCAGAGCGAGAAATTCTTGCGTAATAAAGCTTTTATCCTTGTTAGTGTTAAGGTCGTGCAGTAGCAGCGCCTTTACACTCACTCCAGCTAACAGCGATTGCAACGAGGTGGATGCATCGCTGGCAAGGAAGGTGCAACGGAGCAACCTCAATAACCTTGAGGTAGTAACAGCTCGAAGAAAGCTTATGACGTTGGAGCTTCCTGCAACTAGTAGCTTATGAGGTGTTGCTTTCAGATTCTCAATCACGCCGATTCAGGCTTTCAAATTCACAAGAAATCTGCTCAAATTCAAATGCTTTCAACCTGAGCAAAATTTACTCTTAGAGAGCAGTCCAACTAGCCGAGCTGTGCGAAGCATCTCAAATTCGCCAACGAGCCGCAAGCACTGCAACTCCATGCAGAAAGTGTGCGTGACTCTGTGATGGCGACAGCATGTGCGACCTTGGGCATGCGGGAGGGAAAACCATGTGCGACATAGGATGGGCATGTGGATGGGAGGGAATTCCCGAAAACCAGAAATTTGATGCATCCTCTGCTTTCGCTGCAGGTCCTAGTCGTGTCGCAGCACGAGCCGCTTGGTGAAATGAAATCTCCTTTCACAATCGATTCCATCCCATAGCCTTCACCGTTGGATTCCGTTACTGCAAGGGATGTTTTTTCACGTACCCTTTAGACAGTGAAATCATATGTTCTTTTATGCGGGTCGTGATTCTTTGCTCACTACGAAGCAACACAGAATCCCATTGCAGTAATTCTTAGGGAGGGACTGAAGTCAGTTTGATGCAACTTTTGCCAGCACTGTTAATCAATAAAAGCATTGTAAAGCTACAAGAGATTCATTTAGCCTATACTATTGCCTCCACAGCTGCAGCCACATCCGCAATGCTCTTAAACTGGTGCCTTTCCTTGACGAGGTGCTTGCCGAAGTTGAGAGCCCTGCGCTCGCAAGCTGCCCTCACATCAGGGTCGGCAATGGACTCCAGATCCTCCACATGCGCGATGCCAACAATGCGCCTGCAAGAGTAGACACACCACGGACGGCACAACCCGCAAAGTCAGGACTTCCATTCCCTCGCAGATCTTGGTGGACGGCGAAACAGGACACCTGAAATCCTGGTAACATACGGCAAAGCACCCACTACCAGCTCCTGCGCTCATCCAATCGACCAGCTATCACCCGAACCTGCACCAGCTCACCCAAGCCTCTACCAGCTCCCACCCAACCCTGCAGCAGCGCTCACCTGATCATCTTGGCCCCGGCGAATCCCAGCGAGTCCAGGAAGACCTCGCGCAGGAAGGCGGTCTGGGCGGCGGAGAGCAGCGCAGCATTGTCGTGGTACAGTGCCTGCGGGTACGCGTCTCCCTTGGCCAGTGCCTTGTCGTTCCACAGCGCCAGGAACTTGGCCTCAAACTTCTGCCACGTCTCCGTGACGCACTGCAGGAGCCACTTCTTGGCCGCCTGGGCGAGGGATGGGGAGAGGGATGGGGGGAGGATGGTGAAGGATGGTGAAGGAGAGCGACTGATGGCAAGGTCGGTCCATTTAGCACACTCATACAAACAGGACAGTCCACAGAGAACACTCACAGCACGGGAGTCATCAGCGGTGGCGTGGCCGTCCTGACTGAAGTAGGCCAGCAGCAGGTTGCCCAGGAAGGCCCCGATGTCAAAGCCCATCGGACCGTAGAACGCAAATTCCGGGTCGATCACGACCGTTGATTCCTCCGTGACCATGACTGAGCCTGTGTGCAGATCCGCATGCAGCAGCGCCTGTGCGCGCTCACAGAACCTGCAAGAGGGAGGAGCGGGGAGGGGATGCACAAGAGCGCAGGCAAAGCAAGCGTGAAATAGGATGCATGAGGGTGGCCCACAATGACAAGTGGAGATAAAGGATGAACCTGAGCCGCCTGAGCCACTTGAGCCACCTGAGCCACCTGAGCCACCACTGAAAATTAACCACAAAATGGTTGGAATGCATGGTGGTGGATTGTGGAACACACCACAAGCACCAGGCGCATCAATACACCACTTGCCCTTGAGCTCCGAAATGGCGAGCTTGCGGGGCACGTCCTCACTCACTCAGCCGTGACAGGCGTGGTGGTGAAACACAGAGAGAGCAATGAGCAACCAGAGGGGGAGCAGAACACCAAGGAAGAAGGGCCGCACTCACTTGCTCTTGAGCTCGGTGATGGCGAGCTTCAGCGGCACATCCTCCCTCAACGCCGCTGCATCTGCGTCGAGCTGGGGGGTGGTCCAGCGGTTGTTGGTGGCGAGCACGTAGGGCTCAGTGAAGATCACCTGCTCCGTCAGCCGACACATCTCCACGTTGCCACAGAACTCCCGCACTGCGGGGCAACAGGGAGCGGAGGAATGGCACGGCAGAGCGTTGGGACGGCAAGGGCTGGGAACCTCGTTTCACTGTGCTGAGTTCAATGGCCCCGCATTTGAATATACTGAGCAAAAGCCATATCTCATTAACTGCCAGCAACCATTGAAAACGGCGCACCTTTGTCGCGGTAGACCTCGGTGTTGATGGCGATGAGTGACGACAGGAACAGCGTGCTGGCGAGGAACGACGACATGTGCTCCGCCAGCCGCGGGTACACGCGCCCCTGCACCAGCCCCTTCCGCAGCACAATCGCGGGCGGCGCCACATACCGCATCACCAGCAGCGCCATCGGGTGACTAAAGAAATACACCTCAGGCACCAGCTCAGGCACCCATGCAAACTGCTGCCGCAGCGCCAGCGCCTCGTAGTAAATCCTATCTAGAGTCATGGGCCAGGATTCCCCCACCACTCGCACGTACGGCAGCGCCTGCTTCACCACTAAGGCCCCTCCCGGCCCTTCGACAATATACACGAAGTTGATGTTCCCGTCCCCCACCTCCCGCACGGACCACTCCGCCGGGCCGCCGCCGAGCCTGGCGGCGAGGTCCGGGTGGTCCTGGAGGAAGGCAGGCACGGTGTGCTCGCTGACGGGCGTGAAGCGGGAGGCTTCCAGAGCGTCTTTGCGGATGCGGTCCTTGTGCGGGTCCGTGTGCGGGTGCGCATCGTCCTCCTTGGTGTGAGGGTTGTTGGCGGGCGGTGGGTACATGGGTGAGGAGGGCACGGGGGCGCCGAGGGAGTGGAGGAACCCGCGGATGTCAAAGACTGATGCGCCTTCTTTCTTCCAGATGACGCCCTGCAGGGATGATGGGGCAGAGGGGCGTGTGGGATGGGGGCATAGGATGAGAAGGCGCCGAGCTGTCAGAAGTAGACAGGTGGGCTGCAAAGGCCTTATTTCCATCAACTCTCGCTGATGTCAAAGACTGATGCGCCCTCCTTCCAGATGACGCCCTGCAGGGAGGGTAGGGTGTGTGGGAAGGTTGCCCAAGGACATATGCGAGGGAAAGGGGTGAGCAAGAAGTTAGGGATCATGCCTCGCATGCCTCACATGCCTCACATGCCTCACATGCCTCACACACACATGCCATAATAAAAACCTCCCACCCACCCTGTCAGTAATGAGGCCTGTGATGAACTGCGCTGGTGTGATGTCAAACGCCGGGTTCCACACATCGATGCCGTGAGGCGCCACCTGCCATGTGAGTCAACCAGGTACATGGAAACAGCAGTGCGTGGGTAGAGCAGCACATGGGTAGAGCAGCACATGGGCAGAGCAAAGACACAGCAACATTGAGTAGATCCAGGTAGAAAATGCCAAGAACCGCAATAGTAAAATGCACTGCACCCTCAGATGTGTTGGCGCACCTGCGGGCCGGCGCCTCCCAGCGAGTGCGTGAGCTCAGCAGAGTGCCGCTCCTCCACCACGATCTCCTCCCCCGTCTTGATCGCCGCATCGATGGACGTGAGTGGCGCCGCCACGAAGAAGGGCGTCTTGTGGTGGAAGGCCGATAGAGCCAGGGAGTACGTGCCGATCTTGTTTGCCGTGTCGCCTAGAGGTTGAGTGGAGAGGTGGGGTTCGAGAGATGGGGGTAGAGAGGGGGTCAGCGGCGCAGACACAAAGAAGGGCGTCTTGTGGTGCCTGCCAGGTGACAGAGGTGGAAAAATGAGACGGATGGAGCAACAGCAGGCAGAAGGCAGCAAACAACAGTGAACACACCGTTTGCAGCAATCCGATCGGCGCCCACAACAACAGCGTCGATGCGGCCAGCAGCCTTGAGCGAGGCGGCAGCAGAGTCAGCAATGAGCAGCGCGGGGATGCCGTCGTGAGTCAGCTCAAACGCCGTCAGCCGCGAGCCCTGGTTGTAGGGACGTGTCTCTGTGCACACTGCTGTTTCCAGCAGACCCTGGGCGTGAAGGGAGCGGATGACGCCCAAGGCTGTGCCGTAGGCCGCTGTTGCAAGGCTGTGAGAGGGAGGGAAACAGGGAGAAGACAGGGTAACGAATGTCATCCGTGCACAATGCCGTTTCCAGCAGGCCCTGCACGTGCAGCGGGCGGATCACTCCCAGGGCAGTGCCGTAGGCTGCAGTGGCCAGGCTGTCGTGTGAGGGAACAGGAAACGGGGCAAGAAAAAGCATGTGAGGCGCTAGCCCTGGTTGTAGGGACGCGTCTCCGTGCACACAGTTGTTTCCAGCGCATGTAGGGAACGATCCACTCCCAGTGCTGTGCCATAGGTAGGCTGCAGACTGCAGTGGCCAGGCTGCGAGAGTGGTAAGGGAAGGCGTGGGAGTGAGAGCGGGAAATGCATGTGAGGTGAGAGCCCTGGGCGTGGAGGAAGCGAATGACGCCTAGAGCCGTGTCGTGGGCCGCTGTGGCAAGGAAGTGAGGGTGGGAAGGAAAGGAGATGTGAGGGGCGAGCCCTGGTTGTATGGGCGCGTCCACCATTGTTTCCAACTGGCCCTGCACGTGGAGGGAGGTCATCACTCCAGCACTGTCCATAGCCAGCAGTGGCGTGGCTGTGCGGGCAAGAATGGGGTCGGGATGGGGATGGTTCAGGATGGGGATGGTTCAGGATGGGGATGGTTCTGGATGGGGATGGTTCAGGATGGGGATGGGAACGGGAAGAGAATAAGCAAAGCAGTGTACACACCACCACTAGGTATGGGGTGAGGGGTCGCATTGTATGCAATAACCCTCACCTGCCAGTGTTGCAGTGGGTGAGCACCCGTAGGTTCTTCCCCTCAACGCCCTTCTGCCTCAGCGCCTCCACCACGGCCTGAGCGCCAAACGCCCCGATGCGCTTGTTGCCCGCCACGTCATCACTCAGCATCGCCTCCGCTGCCAGCACTGTTGCCTGAGAGGGGGGGGCGAGGGTGGTTAACAGATGGCAGTGATGGGGTGCGAAGACGTGAGAACAAAGAGAAGAGCCACGTCATCACTCAGCATCGCCTCCGCTGCCAGCACTGTTGCCTGTGGTGGGGGGTGGTGGGCCCGGGGGGTTGGTTGGCCCAGAGGGGTGGTTGGCAGACGGCAGGGAGATGAAGGGTGAGGTCAAAGCGGAGAGCCACGTCATCACTCAGCATCGCCTCCGCTGCCAGCGATCGCCTGGTGGGGAGGGGAGGAAAGGGGAGGCGCATGGGAGGAAGTCGAAGGAGGGGGGGAGAGTGAAAACAAAGCGGATAGCCACATCATCACTCAGCATCGCCTTTGCCACCCGCACCGTTACCATTACACCGTTACCATTACCACCACTGCACCGTTACCATTACCACCACACTACACCATTACCATTACCACCACACTACACCGTTACCATTACCACCACACTACACCGTTACCATTACCACCACACTACACCGTTACCATTACCACCACACTACACCGTTACCATTACCACCACACTACACCGTTACCATTACCACCACACTACACCGTTACCATTACCACCACTACACCGTTACCATTACCACCACACTACACCGTTACCATTACCACCACACTACACCGTTACCATTACCACCACACTACACCGTTACCATTAACACCACACTACACCGTTACCATTACCACCACACTACACCGTTACCATTACCACCACTACACCGTTACCATTACCACCACTACACCATTACCATTACCACCACACTACACCGTTACCATTACCACCACACTACACTGTTACCATTACCACCACACTACACCGTTACCATTACCACCACTGCACCGTTACCATTACCACCACACTACACCGTTACCATTACCACCACACTACACCGTTACCATTACCACCACACTACACCGTTACCATTACCACCACACTACACCGTTACCATTACCACCACACTACACTGTTACCATTACCACCACACTACACCGTTACCATTACCACCACACTACACCGTTACCATTACCACCACACTACACCGTTACCATTACCACCACACTACACCGTTACCATTACCACCAATGCACCGTTACCATTACCACCACTACCACCAGCACTACCTGAGCTCACCAGCACTACCTCGGCTCACCAGTACAACCGCCTCGGGCGTGGGTTCCTCCTTGGCTGCCTCCTCCGCCACCCTCTTGAGCTTCTCTGCCGCGTCTGATAGGTTCACTGCCGTGGGGCGACTGGGAGGGGACAAGGGGGGAGAGAGAAGAGTGTGTGAGAGAGAGACCAAGGGGAACACGTGAGCGCATATGGTCCTGTTTGATCTTCTCTGCCGCGTCTGATAGGTTCACTGCCGTGGGGCGGCTGGAATGGGGGGCGGAGGGAGGGAGAGGGGGAGTGAGGGGAGTGAGGGAAAGTTGTTGGAAGTGTGGGGGACGGGATTGCCCCCCACGCGAAAGACCTCCCTTGACTCGGACCAAGGGAGGGTTCGTTCTTGGAAGGTTGGGGTGACGGCGGATTGTCCGCGTCGCCACGCAACCGAACTTCCCCCGGTTGGGTCCGAATATTTGTGGGGGCGACACTTGGCAGCCCCACAAGCATGCACGAAAATAGCAAGAGCGCAAGCGAATGTTACGAACATTTCGCTACACTCGCTATTGTTCCTTGTAACACACGATTGTCGGCGTGAAAAAACGAACCCGGCAAAGTCCGAAATTGTGAACGCGGACGTCGCGGAAATTGGACGCGATCCTGAGTCCGAATTTCCGGCGAGTCGCGCGCGGTTCGATGTTACAATTGTGCTTGCATGTTTTAGCTATAAAACCAGAGAGCAAATTCCATAGAGTTAACTTCAACTCGTCACTTGTACCCATCCTTGCATTATAAGAAATATCTCTTTCAATTCTCAGGCGATTACAGAGATTCAAAGTGCCACTGATTCCTTGCTCCGAGCCTGTCGGAACGATCCTAGTCTTGGCTCCTAACTCGCCAAGTAGAATCTGTGGCGTCACTAGGAGTGAGACGGTTTCCTTCAAAAGTGAGGCGCTGCCAGGGCCTTTTCAGATGCCAATGGTCAAACACACAAGCGCACCTGGACACGAGGTAGTCAAGGCGGTTGGTGATGTGCTTCACGGCAGCATCCTGTGCCGGTGCACCTCCACTGCCAGCGCCAGCGCCAGCGCTCTGTGATCGACATACCTGGAATGGATATGCGCTGCGCACCTGGACACGAGGTAGTCAAGGCGGTCGGTGATGTGCTTCACAGCGGCATCCGCGGACTCGAACACGCTGTGCTGGTGCACCTCCACTGCCAGCGCCAGCGCTGCTGCGATGGCGATCGCCGGCGCTCCCCTCACCACCATGTCCTTGATGGCGTGCCTGAGGGTTGTGATGGGTGCGGTGCGGTGGAGTGCGGTGCAAGGCAATTCACAGGAGGAGGCATTAACTGGCATGTTCGTGGTCGCATTTCCGGCGTTTCGTGATGCATGGGGTTCCAAACACAGAGCATGATGAGATGACAATGAGAATCGCGAACCCACCAGGCAGCTTCGGTGGTTGGGATGTCGAGGTAGATAGACTCGTGAGGAAGCTTCCGCTGAAATGAAGGCAACACGCGCGGCGGGGCGTAAAATGGAAGGGGGAAAGAAGAAGCAGCGCCTCAGTCTGGTTAAACGCGCGCCTTCATAACATCGGAGCCGTAATGATTCTTATCCTTTACGTACGACGCACCCTTTACAAGAAGGGTGCGACAGTTTCGTGCGCAGAATTTTCACAATATCGCTATTTTTTATACCGAGAATTTAACTGAAAGCTCCGCTGAAACATTCTGAGGATTTATGAGAGCTGAAAACACAACTCGCCTGGTCCAGAAGCTCGAGCTTCCCTCGGGAATACCGAATGGCCTGAAGCACCTTCGACTCGCCCGACGCGCCCACATTCTCCGCCGTCACCGTCAGATCTGCAACCGCTGCCGCCATTGCTGCCGTCGGATTCGATAGTTTCCAACGACGAAATTCAAAGAACGGATTTGTCGAAACTACCGGCGAGGTGTGAAGGGATTGTCAGGTCTGCGAAGTACCGGGAGAGGCGCTAGATGCGGAGGCGGCGGCGAAGCTGGTCGGGGGTTGGATTGGAATACAAATGGATGGCCGAAGCTGAAGGAGAAATCCTTAGTGGCAGCTTTCTGACCTCCGAGCTGGTAACAATTGAAAATTGACGATTCGAAATAGTTCGCAACACCCAGGACATCCCGAGGCATAGCGACAGTCGCCATTGCCTAGGTTATGTTCGCTGAATGGTTTGCCATTGCCGTGGCCTGAATAACAAGCAGAGAATCGAGACACTGAAACCCCCGTTTTAGTCAGAACACAGCACAGCATACAGCACAGCACACAGCATACTGCACACAGCACAGCACACCACAATGCTTTACCTCGTTACTCCTCTTCACATCATCACCTCCCCATCATGTCGTTTCTCCGAATCGCGATAGTTCCTGGTCAAATTGTTACCACCATTATCCGCAGGCATCAGATATAAATCTTCACCACATGGTCGCTTTCCTTCGGGTTTTGGCCGTTCATTTTTTCCTCCCTGTAACTCTTTCTCACCGCCGTTTCTGCGTTACCTCCGCATCATCACCGCGATGTCGTTGGGTCAGCCGAAAGGAGCAATCGATGGACACATGAAGTCTTCGGATGATGAAATCTCTCTACTTTCGATCGCGATACGAGTCGCTATGGATCGTAGTTAGCCAGTAGCAACACTTCGCATTGCTTCAAATTCTCTGTCGCGATACGAGTCGCTATGGATGCGACGCGCATGCGCGCAGTGCGCCGCGCATGGCCGCATTAGAGAAGAGGATAAGGTAGCCATCTAATTGGTTCAGCATGCTGCTTCATCATGCTGTAGGTATGCTGATCATTGCAGTCAGCATGCTTCAATGTGCGACATCATGCTTCAATGTGCGACATCATGCTTCAATGTGCGACATCATGGTATGCTGACCGTTGCTGTCAGTCAGCATGTACGCACAAACTGCCATCATTCTTAGTGCACTCTCCTGTCGTTGCTCTGCGCGTTGCTTGCTGCCCTTTTGGGCCGTCCTGCGTTGCCCTTGCCTTGGCGAAGGATTCGCGCGCTGGCAAGGGGGAAGGGGATGGGGAATGGATTCGCGCGCTGGCAAGGGGGAAGGGGATGGGGAATGGATTCGCACGCTGGCAAGGGGGAAGGGGATGGGGAATGGATTCGCAGTGCTAAATGCTCTCTCCAGTATGCCCTCTCCTGCCGCTTGCGTCTTGCCCCATGCACAGCAGGGTCATCAGCACGCAAGCCTGCACAGTTGTTGTACCAGCGTCACTTGCTGCGCGACCAGTGCAATGCCAGTGCCCCTTAGTGCGCACTGCAGAGATTCACAATGCAAGGTAGCGTCACTTCACTCTAATTCACGGTCTTGCTCAAATTCACAGTCTTGCTCTCTTTGATCAACAGACTCCTGAAAAGCTAATGGTAGCGTCACGTGCTCGAATTCACGTTCTCGCTGATTATCAACTTCACGTTAATGGTTCCTTCACCATTTGTTGCCATGGGTTGTTACCCCCCCCCACCATCCATTACCTTTTGGTGTTAACCCCCCCCCATGTCACATAGGAATCGCCATCTTGTTATCTTGGCATCGGCATCACCATCCCATTCATTATCATGTGATGTTGCCTCTGTTTGGCAGTGGTGATGTTGCCTCTGCATGGCAAAGGTGGTGTAGCCTCTGCATGGCAAAGGTGGTGTAGCCTCTGCATGGCAAAGGTGGTATTATCACCACTGTACCTCCCAGCACACACACGTGTCAACACGTGCGCTCAGCATGTGGACAGGACATGGGCGGCATGTGGGCGGCATGTGGGCAGTGTGGGTGCTGGATAATCAATGGATGTACACAGCACAGCACAGCACAGCACCGCACAGCACAGCACAGCACAGCACAGCACAGCACACACCACAGCACAGCGCAGCACAGCACAGCACAGCACACAGCACAGCACAGCACAGCACAGCACAGCACAGCACAGCACAGCACAGCACAGCACAGCACAGCACAGCACAGCACAGCACAGCACAGCACAGCACAGCACAGCACAGCACAGCACAGCACAGCACAGCACAGCACACAGCACAGCACAGCACAGCACACAGCACAGCACAGCACAGCACAGCACAGCACAGCACAGCACAGCAGCACAGCACAGCACAGCACAGCACAGCACAGCACAGCACAGCACAGCACAGCACAGCACAGCACAGCACAGCACAGCACAGCACAGCACAGCACAGCACAGCACAGCACAGCACAGCACACAGCACAGCACAGCACAGCACAGCACAGCACAGCACAGCACAGCACAGCACAGCACAGCACAGCACAGCACAGAACAGCACAGCACAGCACAGCACAGCACAGCACAGCACAGCACAGCACAGCACAGCACAGCACAGCACAGCACAGCACAGCACAGCACAGCACAGCACAGCACAGCACACAGCACAGCACAGCACAGCACAGCACAGCACAGCACAGCACAGCACAGCACAGCACAGCACAGCACAGCACAGCACAGCACCGCACCGCACAGCACAGCACAGCACAGCACAGCACAGCACAGCACAGCACAGCACAGCACACAGCACAGCACAGCACACAGCACAGCACAGCACACAGCACACAGCACACAGCACAGCACAGCACACAGCACAGTATGCAGAACAGGACAGCACAGCATATAGCACAATACGCGGAACAGCACACAGGCCGCACAGCACACAGCACAGCACAGCAACAAAACACTTCCTTCACAACTGAGCATGCTCTCGCACCTTGCTCCCATGAGCCTCTCCCTGTATGACTTTCCGTGAGTCGTTCTGTTGGTGATGCCTTTGCAGCAATAGCATCGCCAGAAGCTGGGTCATGTGCTTCTGCTCGCCCAGCAAGTCTGAAGGCGGGATCAATCTTGGTAGCGTCAGCGCAGCAGCATCAGAGAGGCCACAGTTTATGTGCTCCTCTGATCTACTGCACAAGGACCTCGGTGCATGTTAATCTACATCAAGTTCTCTGTTGAATGGTAAACTAGATGAAGCTCTCTGTTGCATGTTACACCTCTGTTGCATGTTAAGCATCTGCTGCATTGCATGTTAGCCCTCTGATACAGGTTAGCCTCTGTCAAGTGCATTGTTGCACGTTAAACAGTGATCTGGTGCATGGCACCGGTACCTGTATCAATTCACTGTTATGCTAGCATCTGAATCCTATGTCAAGTGCATTGTCTGTGCTGGTTACCATATGTTATTTGTGTTACATTAGTTTCTATAAGATGCGTGAATCTACCCTTAATCAAGCAATTAAAAAGATACGGTGCACTATGTTTTTTATTATCTGGATGGAAGGTATCATTCGATACACGGGAGGACCAGCAGACTCGTGCCTCTAAACTGAGCAATATCAATCAGCAGATATAGAGAATATTGATCCACAATTATCGATTGAAGAGTTTTGTCTAACTTGTCAATGCAAAGATTTGCATCAAGGCAAGATAGAAAAAGAGAAGTGATTGATCAACACAACACATCACATACCGTATATTGATATTGGTCTTCGTGTATGTAGATGATTAATCATTTGGTTCATGCTGGTATTCTATGATGCTTTATTTCTAAGGTAGTGCAGTGAAAATGTTTCATAATGTATGACATATTTCCTCAAAATCCGCACGCGACTCGTTTGACGGAAAACAATAATAGTGAGACTTTAGCCGGGGAGCCGCGAGCCCAAAACTCCCCTCGGCCGCCTGTCGCACAGATCCGTGAACCTTTGCCTTGGATTTGTGTCAGGCGGTTCCCCGAGGTGTCGCCGCCTGGCAATTTCAAAATGCTGAACCTGTTTACCCGCCAAATCGAAACACTTTCTGGTTGTGATTTCAAACCTGTTCACCGCTTGACTTGGTTGAGGCAATCTGGTCTGGTAGAAACCAGATGGTGCAATCTGGTCTGGTAGAGTGATTTCCGACTCTACCTCTGCTGCAGCTCTCCCCTCCCTGCTCATTTGCTCTCCTTCCCTGCCTCTTAGCTCACTACCCTCGCAGCCTTGGCTTCCGCGAATCCCTAGCGAATGCAGCTCTTTGCGCTGACAGTGTTACAGTGCTTGATAGAACACAGAACGATGGTGCCAGAATGACCCCGTTATTATACTCAGTTCCACGTCGCTCGGATTAGCTGGTAAAACCATGAGTGTTGAAACGGCTGCCGTTTATTAACCTTTCACGAAATCTCCAGTACTCATCAGGTGGTTCCTGTATCCTGCCACACTTCAGTAGCTGTAGTGGAAGTTGCGATCATCCACCAACTGGCGACGGCTACCGGTGCTGCACGTTTCGTGAATATGTCGAGTAGCTCTCTGGCGAGCAGGTCAGAACGGGCTATTTGTACGTACATCAGAAAGTTGCGCCAGTAGCCATCGTATGTAGTCGCGGTGGAAGCAGCGAATCGCTGAGCGCTAACACGTTTGACGTTAACGGTAACGCATAGGTGAAAGAAACCGGCCTGCTCCTAGTGACGCCACAGAATGCACTTGGCGAGTTAGGAGCCAAGACTAGGATCTTTCCGACGGGCTCGGAGCAAGGAATCCGTGGCACTTTGAATCTCTGCCTGCGAATTGAAAGAGATATTGCTTATAATGCAGGAATGGGTACAAGTGACGAGTTGAAGTTAACTCTCTGGAATTTGCTCTCTGGTTTTATAGCTAAAACATGCAAGCACAATTGTAACATCGAACCGCGCTCGACTCGCCGGAAATTCGGACTCAGGATCGCGTCCAATTTCCGGGACAATTTCAGACTTTGCCGGGTTCGTTTTTTCACGCCGACAATCGTGTGTTACAAGGAACAATAGCAAGTGTAGCGAAATGTTCGTAACATTCGCTTGCACTCTTGCT